TCGGGGGCTGGTCTGCGTCGGGTCCATGTCACTGACACCTGGTGACGTCCTGCATGTGGAAACCTGCCTTTGGCTCCGTCCAAACCAGCACGTCACCGGCAGCCGGAAAGGCTTCCGGGCTGTGGCTTGAGGTGGCCGGTAACGTGACAACTTTCTTCCCAGCCCCGTACCCCAGATCACCTGGAGGAGGGGCGGCGGGCTGCCCTTTCCCGGGAAAGTGACGCAGAGGAAGGCGGGCGGCGTGCTGGAGGTCCCCGACTTCCAGCAGGAGGACGCCGGCTCCTACGAGTGCATCGCCGAGAATTCACGCGGGAGGAACGCGGCTCGGGGACGCCTCACGTACTACGGTGAGCACGGGGCGGCCGGGGGCCGGGGGCCGACCTGCAGCGGCTGTCCTAGCCACGCTGCTGCCGCTGGGGACGGGCCGGTCCGGTGGGACGCTGGGCCCGGCAGGTTCTGTTCTGCGTTCTGTTGAAAGAGGATAAATGCCCATCGTAAAGGGAACTGGAAAAGAATTTTGCGGTGGGGCCGGAGGCGTAGGAGATGCTTTTTGCATTTTAAAACGATTCAGGGGAGAATGAACTAGTCCCCTTTTTTCCCTGAGAATAACCTTTCACACATTTCACCGTTTCGAGGAGCGACGTTCTCAGTCCACCCTTTGTGGAAGCTGTGGTTTCGCACCTTGTTGTCTTTATGAGGCGGAAAGAATCTGTCTTCCCTGCCTTGGAAGCCGCGGCTCGCCCGGGCTCCGCCGCGGCCTCGCCGTCTCTCCGTCCCTCGCGGCTGCGCCTCTGCCGCCTCCGATCTGCGATCACGTCTATTTGACGCGCTGTCAGTTCGGTTGGGAAAGGGTAATAGCGTTATCTTTACTTACAGACCGTGTATAGGAAAACTCAATAGTCTTTTCGGAGTTTGTTTCCCATTTCCTTTCACTGAAGAATACTAGTTTTTGATGAATGCATATTTGGAAAACACAAGTCTGTGGTTTTATGAAGTGCACTTCAAATACGTGACGACGTCAGCGCTTCGTCGCTACAGCTCACGCCGATGGGGCCGACCGCTTCTCTGACAGGCAGCCGCCTCGTGTCCCGTGTAGTCCGGGAACTGGGAGTTGAAGCTGTTCGCAGTGCTCACGTACACACTGCGAGAGGAGGAAGTTGGGAAGTAGAAAATGCGTTTCAATGTAACGTGGAAAGCAATTTTGGACTGAACTGTGCCTCGGAGTGGGCAAGCAGTCTGTGTGAAAAGCAGTAAGGTAGAGCTTAGGCGGGCCCGTGTTCTCTGAAAGCCAGACGGCTACATTTTCACTGCGGTTTTGTTTTCTATGAAAGCAGTTTTACGAGATGGGAATGGGAAGGCCCATCTGCCCCTGGCTGCAGTGAACAGGACGGGACACACTGCGCCCCCACGTGGAGGGTGTGCGGTGGGACCCCAGCTCGGTCAGGCATGGGGGGCTGGGGCGGGGGGCGGGGCTCGGCTCACTTCGGGGGGGGCACAGGCTGAGGCTCCGCGGCCTGCACTGTGTGTCGAGCGCCTGTCACCGTGAGTGGTGTGTTGCTTTCATCTGTAAGAGCATTTTCTAAATAGCATCTTCTGAAACCTAAGAGGGGATGATGAATCCACTCGATACAGCTGATTTGCATGCGTAATTGAAGGTCGCACGCAGTACTTTTTCATAAGAAAGCGTGTGATTCAAATTGAAGCAATTTATCCACCTTTTCCTGCCTTCACTTAATTCTCACAGCGGCTCCTAAGACTTAGCTCGCTGGTCCATAGTTAATTAAGACTTATTTCTAAGTTGAAGGGAATATAATTTCTCCCTCAGCTACAAAAGTTTCTCTTCTTTGGCTGTTAATTTTCAGTGCGTAATTAAGACTAGCATCCGCTGTCATTCGCGGATTAAGTTGTCATCAGTTGTGAACTCGTGATTCAAACGCAGACTTGGAGAAGAAAACCTGTTTCGTGTACCTGCGTGAACTGCCTCCCGACCGACATCCGGAGAACGTAACACAGTGCGCGGGAGTCGACCGCACAGAATGCACGTTGCGCTGGGCGTAGGGGCCACAGACGCAGCATCCGTCCTGGACGGATGAGCATCTCACAGATCCTGGGAGTGAGATCCTAGGGCCTTCGCCACTGTGCGCTCAGAGTCCCTCGCTCAGCCTGAGAGCCAGTGACGGCTACGTGGCCGAGCAGGCACTTGCATGTGCCGGGTGAACTGAGAGTTTGTTTCGTTGCAGCGAAGCCTCACTGGGTCCAGCCCATCGAGGACGTGGAACTCGCGGTGGAAGACAGTCTGTCCTGGCAGTGCCGGGCGGGCGGGAAGCCCACACCCTCCTACCGGTGGCTGAAGGACGGGGCGGCCCTGGCACTCGAGGTGAGGCCCCGTCCGGCGTCC